GATCAAGCAGCTTTAATTTCTTCTTTGGCAAAACAAAAAGGCACCTTTTTACTCTCAGTTTAGCGTACCCATTCATCTTACTAAAATGGTTTAAACAAGAGTTCAAATACACAGAATCAAGTTGTGAATTGTTTAATATATTTTCAAGGTCACAAAGATACATAGCTATTTATGTAGGCATATATAAATTATGAGATACATTCAAAGGTCAGAGAGCTCAAACTCTCTCTTTATTTCCCTTCCATCAACTACTTCTTAGCATACTGAACAATACCAACAAATGATAGAGAGGTACTAATACAAACAAACTAGATTCTTAGAACACATTGTCATTGTTGGTACTGTAGTAAATTTGATTTGTTTAGATAACACTATTCTTTATCCTTTTTTTTAATATTTATGTATCACTCTTTAAACATTATTGTGAGCAATTATTTTTACCTTATGTCATAATTTTTTTGAAGATAAAAATACAAAATTATATATATAGATATTAATATTTAGGCTATTCAATTTAATAGAGATATTTCATCTAAAGAGGTCCAAATTTCTTTTTACATATAGAAAATTTGACCCCATACCATTACCTAGATCCCTCCCATGCCTCCTAAGCTAGCCTTAATGGATTTGAACTAAAGGTTTCTAGGAATTATAAATTGAAAGAGGAAGGGTGCATCAAGGTGAGTATATCTTTATTGTTGTTATATTATTAACATTGAAAAAAAATTAGTGATAGGTGGAGCTGGTGAGCAAAACATGATGTCAATAGTTTAGGCATATGTTTAGATGCAAGATAGATTAAGTTTATTATGCCCAAAATTAGGCACTATACATCCATTTAAAGGGTTATTTTTAATTGATTATTTATCATCAGTGCTATTGGAATCAAAGAATCTTGATGAAGAAAATTATGTTCCTGCGATATCAATTATACAAAAGTAGTATTTTGAATGCACTAATTGGTGAGGTATGAACAATAGGCAGCCCCATTAGAGACACCACTCGCAATGCTATGGATACTGAATTTATTGGAGCAAATGGCCAGGTTTGACTTTCTCTCTATACAAGGATAGGCCACTTAAACATGTTGCTAATGCATAGCATATTTTCTTTCTTTCACCTAATTTGTAGGTACAATTTATAAGGTTTTGAGCACAATTCAACAAAGGAACATAATGTAAAATGATAACAACTATTTGGTTTTAATTGTCCTACACCTTATCAATGCTAATTATATTTGCATTTGTAGCTTTAGTTAGAAAAATGCTATAGAGATACCTAATTTTCACATCAAATCCTGCGATGCATAAGTCCCTGTTAATACATTTCTAGCCAAATGGATTTAGTGACTACTGATATAGTTAATGCACCTCCTGCTAAATATCTATCTATTTCACCTTCTGTTGAAGATCACGAAGGACCATTTTTCTGAATTGTGAGTAGCCTGCTTCTATAAGATTACATTTCTTTGTGAACTTCTGCCAATTTTCTGAATTCTATGTGGTCATATGGAGGTTCAGATTGTCCTGGAAAGTGTTCATAGCAATTTGATTGGTTCAATGTATTATCTAGATGAACCAGCCAAGGATCTAGCATTGGAGCTTGTGGAAAATGTATGTGCTTAATTTGAGTAATGATACTACCATTATTTATTTTATGTAGTCAATTGTTATTTTACTTGAGGTTTTATATAATAAACTACTTCTGCAGCACACCTTTTTGGTTGATTTGTGGAAACTCTATCATGCTTGTAGCTACTTGAATGTGTACTTAATTTTGGGAAGGTCTTTAGAAGGGATATGTAGTGCTTAAACTCTGAATGATGTTGAAGGAGTCTTATACTTGTTGGTTTTTAGGTTTGTGCTGACCCTTGGATTCAGATGAATGGTCTTAAAATATGAAATATTTGCTATATATGATATGCTTTAGGCAAATTCTTCATTAATTTCTTACATAAAAATGAAAAGAAATCCATTTCAAGATGAGATATAAATAATGCAATTTATTTAAATATGATAGCATGATAAACAAGGTAAAGTAGGCTGGGATTTCCTACCTGAGATCTAAGAGATTTATCTTCAAAGCTGTCTTGAACGTATTTCCCCTCTCATAAAGCTTAAATCGTCCACAGTCGTTAATCAACCTGACAACATCTACATTTTGCATCAATTGCTAACTATCTTATAGTCCATAAGATATTGTTGGTTACAAACAAAATAAATTGATGAAAATTTTACAGTTACCTCTTTAGATATTATTAGATGGTTCTTCTTTGACTATCTTATAAAGAGGCAAGGCATCATATACGTTCTGTGGGATATCACTTCCTTCATATAGGATGACTTGGGTAAATCTGTGAAATATGATAACATAAGGGTGATCACAAGGCATAAAATGATTGTAGCAGTAACTGCTAATTGCATTGAATCCCTTGAAGTAGTAGCATTCTCCCTCTCTAACAATCATCCGGAATTTGTTTAGCATATCTTTCTCAGTGACTACTGCCTGGATTTTTGTTAACTATGAAATATAGACATCATAAGTATTACAAGATTATAAAAGTATGAATGCAAACATAAATAAGCAAAGCCATACCTCCCTGTCCATTAGAATAAAGTTGAGGGTTTTGATTGTATATTGAGCATCATTGAATACTCGAATAACGGAGACGCATATGAGTCTAGTGAGGCAGTTTGAATCTATACTTGTGAGAGGTAGGTCCATCACGTTATCCATTGTCTATTGTTATGTCTGACAGTCTGAGTAGAAGTAACTATATGAGAATTGAGAGATTCAATCCCTTGTGATTCTTTTATAGACTTTGTATATATAGGGTGCTATTTGTAAGGGATATCATGGCATGTTGGCTTATTTGTATGCCCATTAACTAGCTCACTTGCTGTGATTGAAAACATGGCTCTAAAATGTTAAGTAGTGCATTATTTTTCTATTTTTTTTACAGAAACAAAATTCGTGACACGTCCATACACGTAAGTCACCTTGTATTCCATGTATGAGTTTCTAATTCTAATTCCTCCCTATCATCACAAATCATGGCACATGTATCGAATGGAAGTAATTATTTATTTATACAAGTAATTTCAGGTGGTTATGTAATTTCAATTTCAATTTAAGAACACGGAGACTATGTGGGATTTCAAATTCGATTATACTGGCCATGATGTGGAGTATATATTTTCAATTTTGCATTAATTTCTTAGTATTATTTAGTATTAATTTTGCATGGAAATGAATTTAGATTCTATTTTAAATTATTATAATTTAACTAATAAAATAAAATAGATATTGGTGATAACTAATTAGAAAGTGTTCAGTTGTTTAATATTTATATATTAAAATTTTTAATTTTGAATAAAACAGATACAAGAATTTAAAATTATAATTATCTGTGTATGAAGATTATTTTTTTTGGCCATAAACAAAATTGGTTAACATGGCTGGTTTTAGAAATAAATAAAAACTATGGCGATTTTTTATTTATATTTAATTTATTATCGTATTTATGCAACCCATATCCGATATTTATGCTTTGTGGTTAGGGTCGTGATTTAACCAATATTGAGATGAGAGTGAACACAAGGTCCAAGGAACAACGTTAACTTTGATATGGGAATGGATGCTTTTAACCTAAGTTTTCTGATTTTAAATCATTATTTTCATCATAAAATATATTTATTCATAGTTAGAGAGAGAGAAATAAGTTAATAGAATTTAAAGAGACTTGCATGCAATGTTGTTTCTTCAAATTTTTAATGCTTAGAGTTCATTATTATATTTACAACCAAAATATTTAATATTTATTTTACATTTTAGATTCAGAATAAAAATCTTGAATAAATAATTTAAATTTTAAATTAAGAATAATCTAAAAATCAAATAACTATATTGTACGATCTCATTTTTCATTTTAAATATACATATAGGATCTTATACTTAGAACATGAAGCAATAACTAAGAAAAAATGAACACAGATCCCATCCAATAATGATTTCTAATTTACATTGTTGATGGCAGTTGTCAAATTAAATTATACGAGTGTATTTTAAATCTCAAATTGAGAAAAAAATCTAAAAATTAAATAACTATTTATATATATAAGTGGATACCTGGTCTTCTACTAAAATTGAGTGTTTCAATCATGTTTATACATAACAATATTATAAGTGAAGTCAATTGGTCTTTGTAATGACATATAGTTAATTGTGATTATATTAGTAAAACATGTTACAAGAGCACCTATAGAACATTTAAGAGCAATGATGCTTTAAATATTTTGAAAATAATGATCTTAAATGATAGAAACATCATTAAAAAAAGCATATATATGAATTTTCTTTTTTGGTGATATCGGCATACATATCAATTTAACTAATTTAACTAATCACTATATAGTGATTGAACTTTTTATACTATATGAAGAAATACTAATTCACACCTCAATTGGTCTTTCTAATGACATATGGTTAATTGTGATTATATTAGCAGAACATGTTATAAGAACACCTATAGAACATTTAAGAGCAACGACGTTTTGAATATTTTGAAAATAATGGTCTTAAATGATACAAACGTCACAAAAAAAAAACTTTCAATATTACTTACAAAGAAACTTTTTATAATCTTATATCTTGAACATATATATGAATTTTTTGGGTGACATAAGCATATATATCAGTTTAACTAATTTAGCTCTATGAAGAAATAATAATTCACACCCGTGCATTGCACGGGTACTGTGCTAGTTAGTTAATATGATTTGTTTTTTTCTAAAACACCATAAGCATATTTTTTAATTTTTTTTCCTTTCTCTTTTACTTTATTATTATTATTGTGGAAATAATAATAAAGTTAATTTGAAAAAAAATTAATAAACATGTGAAATAAGTCAAATCTATAATATCAATATCAATTTTCCAATTAAATCATACATTAAGGACAGAAAGAGTACCAAATAAAAAAAATATAAATAGCGCTCCTGAGCTTGTTTTTTTAACCTTTACTTGTATAGTGTTTACAAGCTTTCCTTGCAAGATTGACCATTTTAACAATCAAATAACACATGAATTTAATCAAACATCCACCATAAACGTACGCAATCCGCTACATCTATTGGCATTATATATAGCTTACCTTGTTCCCGCTCCATGGATGCTTCCCAAATGGTTCTATTTACATTTCACACACAAAAGCAAACCCTAATTTATTCTTCGAAAAAAGGGGGGAAAAAAAGAACACATCATGAAACTGAATATATATACATGTCACATTATAGCACAAGCATGAGGGTTTTCATCACTGAACACAGACATGGCCTTTTCACTGACCACCATTGAACCAATTGGCTTCTGGTAGTACCCAAAGTCGTCTCCATTATTATACCCATGCTTGTAATAGTTGTAAGAAGAAGACGAAGAATAATAGTTGGAAACAGATCTTCTTCTTCGTCTTCTTCTTCCATTATCGTCATCATCATTGTCATATTCATAGCTGTAGTTGTTATTATTGTTGCAGTAATGGCGGACGAAGCCGTGATACTCTGGTTCATATGGATATGGCCACAGCTCTGCCTTCTTGCCAGTCTTCCTCACAGCCTTCAGAACCTTGTTTTGATCTGCCCATCCCATCACAGTTACCTTCTGCATTCTCATGTCTATGTCGACATCATCAACTCCTGCAAACATTTTCATCGACTATTAAAAAATGTATGGATTAAACATCTTGATGATATTACTATATATATGTACAATAATTTAGATCAGAGATTAGAAAACCGTAAGGTTCTTACCAGGTAGCTTTTGAAGGGCCTTCTTTATCTTGCGTTCACAACCTTCGCAGTCTATATTCACGCTGATCTCTACTATCTGTGTGTGTGTGTGTAAAACAAAACAATAGAAGAGAAAACCAAAGGTTAGAACAAATGATAGCATTCACTGACATAATTGAATTTTGAGGCTGCACATACAACGATAACAGTGCGTCTAGAGTTTAAAGCACACTCCAAAACAAAAAAAGGCACTGCTCTGTTTATATATACAGACACACACACGAACAGATATATACATTAAAGCACCAAAAAAAAAATGATGATACGAAATGTATATTCTGAAATAATAACAAAAGAAATTATCAGTGATACATATGTGCTACAGAGCATTATTGGTAAAATAGCTAGGTTTATACTTGGTCCACCCCATCTTATTTATAACAAACGTATATTAGTTTTACAAAGATATCTTTTTTAATCATGTGCATTTGTAATTGCTCCTTGATTATTACGTGTAATCCATATTGATGATTACTTTAATTTAAAATTATAAATTTAAAAGGAGATTGAGATATTATATTTATGGTTAAAATAAATCTCTTGTCTAGAGGAGGCTGTGCAATAATTTTTATAGCTAGAAGTGACTATATGATATTCAAATATTTCTAATAACAAGTGAAGAAACAAAATAACAATCAGAAATAAATATCTTTTATTACCGTCATGATGAAAGTTGGAATTGAAGAGAGCTTAACGCTTGGGAAGCAAATGTGTTAAGCTTCCTAGAGAACTGTATAGAAGAAATCATAAAACCATATGGTCTATTTATAGGCAAAAGAGAGACACGACTTTATGTTGTCCTATTGAAGCCAAGCAAAATAATAATTTGAGACAAATCTATAAGAAATAGTACTATGATGTCACACACGTGTGGTCCCCAAGAAGATTTCTTGCCCTCCAATCAATTTGCTTAATTGTGAAGTTGATGACAACGTATATGCACTCTTTATCTATAGACATATGTTTGTTCTAGAGTCATGATGTGAAAGTGCATGGAAAATGCTTTAGATATTTGTAGGGTTATGAGAAAACAACCTCAATAAGAAATAAACCTTGCTTAATTAATACGGCTCCGGTTCTAAATATGAGACCGGTTCTAAATATAAGACCTATTTTGTAGTGTAAATTACACTATAAAATAGTTCTTATATTTAGGACCGAAGCAGTAATAATAGGAGTCACAATCACCAGATTATTATTTTATAATTATGGCTTGATTAATTAATTAAGTTACCCATCGTCAATTAATCATATGGAATCTTCCAAGGAAATCTTTCGAGCTTGACCTCTTAGACTTAACAGGTAGGCACCGCGTGGCGTGGGATCATTTGTTTATATGTATGAAATTGTCGCTGTAAGTTCAATGGTGCCCGTGGTGCACGCAATTGAGGAAACTACTTTACGACTCGCTTTTATATAATATTTTTATAATCCTATTTATAGGATAGAGGGAAAAGATTTTACTAATCCTATTTATAAGTTATTTCATTAAATTTTCAACATAAATATATTATTTCGTTCTTTATTTATTATAGTATATATAGTTTTTTTTTTGAAGATGTATATGTTAAATAGAAGTAAGTTTGAAAAGTTGTTATGTTTTAATAGAGAGTTAATGCATTTTAAGATTTTTCTTGACTTGTGTAAAATATGTTAGAAGTATCTTATAAATAAGATAAAAAAAATATACTACCTCTCATGCTGTAGACAAGAGCTAGACAAATAGTTCATTTTAAATCATAACTATAAGATTTTAATTCACTTTACCTCCCAACTATATAATTTTTATTTAAATACCTATTGATTGCTTATATTAATGAAACACCTAATCAAAAAGTAGTTTCAATGCATATGATTGAAAAAAGTAATTGAGAAAAATATATAAAAACAAGTGATAAAATATAAAGTTGATAAAATTATTGAAAAAAAGGGTGGGAAAAGCTATAACGTTCGACATTTTTATGCAAGGTGAAAAGTTTATGCACATGTTTATTCATATATGCATAGGATTGCATGGCGTCTAACTTACCAGCTCCATTTCAAAATATCATTAAAGTTATGTATGCAAAAATGGCCTAATTTATGTACTTGCATATTCTTTTTATCTGTATAAAACAACTCAAATGATTAAACTTTCATTATACTTTAGAAAAGGGAACAGACTCACGAATTCATATAAATTTAGTTGAATAAAATTCTATCTTCTATCAACAAGTATTAATAATGGAGATACCTGTAGATAATTCGCCAGAAAAAAAAAAAAAACATAACAAGAAAAGCAAAAACGCTATACGGACTGATGAGAAACTCCAAACAGGAGCTAATTACAAAGCCAGAAAATTAGGAAAATCTCATACAATGCCAGAGTTAAACACATGTAAATCCAGCAATGTATTGTAGTATCCCTTCTCAATTTCCTCCTCCTTTACTTGATGAAGAAGTAAGGTCTCAATAATCAGGTCTTCCCAGTCAATTCCATCAACAAGCTTTCTTCTTCTCTTGAACTTTTTCTCAGAACAATCAGCACCCAAATCAGAATTCCATGGATGCATTATTCTATCTATACGCACCTTAGCAGCATTGATCTTCTCTCTTCTCATCTCACATTTCAAGCAGTTTGAAATAAAAGAAGGTGGCATGGATTCGAATCCGACATCCTTCTCGAGTAACTGTTTGAGCACAAGCTTTTTGCTCAATTCTGATTTTCCATTCCACCACTCGCTACAATCCTGAAGATCGACCCTCTTGGAAGATTGCTCATACAACATGGACAAACATTCAGGTGAATAAAGCAGTTTGTTTGCATCCCTAGCACTTGGTCTTGTAGAGTGAATATTGTTTTGTGATATGCTACAATGAGAATCACTTGGGAGGTTTATGGAATCAGTCTTGTGTCCATTTCATCGAGTTTTCTTAAACATTCACTAACCATCTCTGCCAAATTAGCCTCAGGACGATCTAGGTCTTTCCTTTTATCAACAGGTTTCAACATAGCCTTTGTCTCCAAATACTTAATTACAGATGGTGCATGTTTGACAATGTTTCTAGTGGTGATATCTCTTCCCCAAGGCAAAACTTGTGCCACTTCTACAAGTTTCTCTAAAAGCTCTTTGTATCGTGTTTTACAAGTGGAAACAACAGCATGAACTTCCTTGGCCAACTCGCTAATTCCAATTTCAACTTGATTCAATTCAGCGACCAGAACCAAAACAGCAACTACCAATGGAAGTGGCTTACGTCCGGTACTCAAAAACCACTTCATTGCACACTGTAACAAAAATATCCCCTGCTTGCGCATTCTGTCTACTTTGCTTCTGTCAATTCTAGCAAAAGATGGTGAAATCTTAAGGACCCTTTCCAATGAATGCACGATATCAAACTCTGGAAAATCTGATTTTTTCAAATCCATAAAATCAATAACTCGTTTAATCATCCTACCCAATTCGTAACCATCACATCCTGCTGCCCATGCCACTTCAGCCATAGACATTGGGCGATTATCCTTTCGCATCACTATATACACACATGCACCAATTAAAACCTGAAACCAATCACCTTGCCCAAATTCACCCTCTGTGATGGTAGAAATCATCGCTTTAATATCACTCATTTTTGAAGATATACCTAATCTAGAAGTTAATTCATCTATCAAACTTTGGGCTTGAAAGAATTTCCTTTCTTTGTAACTATATATAGTACCTGCACCAGAAGTTCCAACACGGACGAATGTTCCTTGTGGGCCATTGATGCCACCGATATGGGCTTCAAACTGATCATATTCTTGAACAACACCACACAAGGAACATATCAAATCCCCAGACACATCATCCCTAACAAGAGAAGTTTTCCTACAACTTTTGCAGGAACGTGTGCTTGCCATAGTGTACCACAAATTTCAAAAGGGGAATTGTTTTCAAACGTTTTGCTTCCAAGTAACTGTTTGATGAGTGAAGTCAAGTTCTAACTTGAGAGAGGATACTGAACAAGCAGGGAAGCTACACTTTTTAACGCAAGACTCCACGTAATTCACTGGGAGACTAGCACGGAGATAGCAGCACTGCATTTAGTCAAACAAATAATAGGTTAATACAGTAATATGATTCGAAAACATTACATTCATGTTAATCTTCTTATGAAATTTGCTTAGCTCATCCATAACTAGTTGAACAAACTTATTTATAGAATTATAGAACAGCATTCCATAAGATCTAAAATCCTATGTGTAAAACATAAATCTTAGTTGTGCACATAGAACGAGAATCCTAAACATACCGCACACATACGAGAAAAAAATAATTTTTTTCTAAGTAGAAGATTTACTTAAAAATTCTGCGTTTATCAGGTAATTTATCAAACCCACTGATGGTTGTTATAGAACAGCGTTCCCACCACCCCCACCCTCAAAAATAAGAAATCTATTAGTAGTGTTGAATTTTTAAACGGTCATTGCTTCTGTCTCACTGATGGTTGTTAGTTTGCTTAATTGCTGGTGGATTGAATTGCCATGATCTCTAATTTAACTTCAAGTTCCACTTGGAATCATGGGGGGAACTTTAATGATTTTCCCTTCCTTTTTTAGTCTGCTCAGCTTTATGCTTGGTTAGAAGACGTTTTCATTGCTCAAGCAACATCAATTGAAAATTCATTTGAAAACAACAATGGTAATTACGTTGGTAACTGACAGTGAAGCTAGCTAGTTAGGCACGCCTAAGGTAATGCATATTTCCATTCATTTCGAAAGTCTTAAGTCTCAACAACTCATTCCAATTGCTTCTTCCAAGATGCTCGAAGAGCCTCAAACGATAACATGAAAGAGGTGGCCAAGATTACGTAACTATAAGTAGACCACAACTAAAGATGCCCAATTCATGTACAGACTTATGACATGATAAATGTTTACTCTATTTGGAATCAAGTCTAATTTGGCTTTAGGACTTCTTTACCGCGGTCATTGTCTTGCAATCTCCCAAACCTAACCTAAATTTAGTTGAAAGGGCCTGGGAGAAATTGTTTAACGTTGTGTTTTAGAAGGCTTTAAAAACTCAACCACATACAAACACTTAATATTATTGTGCTGCCAGCATAGGAACAGAAAATTTTATAGGACATGTAGTCATTATGACAGATGCCAAGTCTAGAAGGGTAGTTTTGAGTGCCATCAAACATTGAAAGCAAAATCCATCGATGTGACTAAAAAGGAAAAAAGAAATCATTAAAGATTAGGCTTAAATATATAATTAGCCTTTATTTCACCATTACAAGAGTTCTATTTAATCAATTCACCTCCTCCTGCTGTCAACATGCATGAAACAGTAAGCTTTCCAAAGTCACCTTTAACACAGAAAGAAATAACAATGGTTCAACAATTGAGTATAATTATAAGACTCTTCAATGTGACTCTGAATTTCAAAAGAAGGTTCTTCAATTACCACATACCAGAAATAGTCCACTCTACAACCCAATAGTGCAGTCCAGCAGCTAAATATTTACTGTTGAAAATTGAAATAAGCATATACAGAGCGCATTTAGCTAATCTTCTCACGAACACACAAGCACTTAGGATTAGTCAGTACTCAATTTAAAACACAAAAACATTCAATATTCAACAAAAATCATAAAGTGAATTTAAAATTGGAGTCTGGAGAGAAGACGAACCTAAAGCCAAAGCCCAAAAGCACACAAACTCACGAAGAACGAAGTAGATGGCTAACTAGGAGAGGCGAGGGCGCAGGGCACCGAACTCAGGTTGAGATCTGATACGTTCGACGGCGAGAATCTGGAGCCATAAAAAGGACGCAACAACGAGAGGCAGAGATGCAGATACAGCCGCCAACGACGGCGACCGTCCAGAGGCAGAGGCGCAGAGATCGGGAGAACGTGGGAGTCGAACTTCGCAGGAGCGAAATTACAGAACGGGGTATTGAGTCTCATACAGAACGGGGATGAAGATCAAAGAAGGAGGATGAAGAAGAAGTCGAGGATAGAAGATGAAGATTGAAATAGGGGGATATATTCATTGAAGAAGGAAGAGGGGTGAAACTCTTATCTGTAAAATCGATTCTTCTCTTGAGATGAAAGAAGAACCGTTGTCTCCTCCTCCGATCTCAGGGCCGTTCTTCATCGCTGGAATTTAAGAGAGTCGAGGGAGAAACAAAAGATGAAGAAGCAGCCGCCGGGGAGGGAGGGGGAGAGAGAGAGAGAGCAACGCCCTCGTAGTCCGAGTGAGTGGTGCATTCAGAACAAGCGCGTGAAACACTTCTTGGTAAATTGAAATTAATTGATTGCTATTACAGTATTACTAATTAATAAATATTACACCCGCTCTTTCATATAAAATTTTGTTTAATTTTTATTTTGATTCTAAATATAAGACTTTCAATCTATTTTGTCGCTTATGTTTATATATTTTTTTCAAGATAGTACTTCTAAAAATAATAGTTATAGCTAATACATTTAATTAGTAAAGATATTTTAGAAAGACAATATATATTTATTACAAATAACTAACTTAACTCTTTCCTTAATCTTTTCAAATTAATCAACTAGTAATTAAATGAAATGCGTTTAAAATTTTTTGAAGAGAACCAATTTTGAAGGCTAATCATATCATCTCTTTTTTCAATGTTATCTTTGAAGTGAGGTAGATGAGTTAAACGCGGATATAATATATCCAATCGATTTGTTTTTGCCACTTATACTATTTATTATTTATTATTTATTATTTTTTAATATTAACTTTGAAGAAAGCTCATTGAATTAATTGTGAGATCACATCATATCTGCTGCATACATCTTAAAAATTTACTGTATTTTTAAAATTAATTTTTTATATATTTAATTTCATTCTTTTGATTTTTTATTACTAATCATCCCTGTATATAAAATCATAAAAAATAACTTTATCACTTTATAATTTAATTTGTCAATTATTTCAAAGATTATAGTGTTTTTTGAAAATTTGATGTTTTATTCTTATATACATTATTACATATTTACGTAATATTATTTTTATCTAATTATTATATTAACGGTCCGATCAAACGGTCTAACCGATCTAACTGTTTGAATCATGACCTGTTAATCTTTTCAGTTTGATGTCCGGTTTGATTTTTAAAATATAGCTTGTAACGAAGTATGATTGCGTGTGAGATGGAAAATTTGTTCAGAATTTCATGATATTTCAAAACCTTTCAAAACAAAAAAAATAATCTTTTAAAAAATATCCCTATTTAGTTAAGGGCATACTTAAAAAAACAATTTTTTAGATTTTGGTCTTTTTTTTTTTTGCAATTCCTTACTATAGTTACAAATTTAATTTTAAAATCATGAAATTAAAAGTTACATTTCAAATTAGTTTGATTTCAAATTTTTAATCGATAGACATATCTGTATATGTTTCATTATTTTCTTACTTTTGTATAATATGTTGCAGACTTATGGTAAAAACTTAAGATTAAATCAAAGTTCATATTTTAGAAGAAAAGGAATGATTTTAATAAAATTCAAGGGTGTAAATGTGATTTGGACGGACTCTTGAAGCAGTTGGAGAGGTTGATAGAAGAAAATATTTCTGCAAGTATTTATACTTTTTTTAAATTTAATACAAATGCTTTTTTTCTTTTTTATTAAATCATTTAATTTTGTTCCGTTAAAACCGTTAAGTTTTATAGCTTCGTTAACAGTACTAATAAAGCAAAATTGAATGATTTAATAAAACGAGAAGAAAACATGGGTACCAAATTGAATATTGAAGGAAAACAGAGGCATCTGCAAAATGGTTTTCTCAAGGTTGAAAAATACAGCAAAAGACACAGAATTCATGAATAATAAGCATGCCGATTCACCCAAAAAAAGAAAAAGGCATGCCGGGAAACTTATGCTATATTCTAAAATAAAATAGTAATAATAACTTTTGAATGTCTAAATTAGATTTCAATTGCTCAAAAAAATGTGCACTAACATTTTTCTATTATGGTGGTGCAGAAGACCAAATCTGTACAAAACTCCATATGCTAAAGTTCCCATAAACCATAAGGAAAAGCTCTTTACTGATGTTCAGGTATTACTACTATCAAGTTTTTCCAAGCCTCAGATGTGGATTGTGGGGAAGCTGAGAAGTGATTGAGTCATATATAGCACTCATCTAAACGACATTTATGCAGCTGAAATGCAGGATTCACCCACGCTCCGCAGCTACACTGCATACCTGCCCAGTTGAAGTAACCCAAAAACCTGTTTGCATCCACTTCATGGGTTGGACAAGTACTGAGGTACAGTCCACTGGTTGCTTTTCTGTGTTCTCATTTCTCTTCTTCCATTTGAAACTTGCTTCTCCTTTTCCACGCTTATGGGAAACAATATTCTCATCTGAAGCTACAATTCTTCGGCATTTCTTACACTGGTAAATAAGGTGAGCCTATAATGTGGTCTTCGACTCAGAGCTAGCAGTTCCAGCCATTTGGATTCACTGATCAATGATGTAATGATGTAAATGTTTAATATTCTGCAAGTTTAAAAGCATATGAGAAGACAACATGGAACCTAATATAATTGTCCAATAGCCATTCATCAGGCTTGGTTAAATAAATGAAGTTGAAAGGAAATAAGAGGTGAAAGAACACACACAACAAGTTAACATGTAGTGTCACACAAAAATTTCTCAGGATATAAAGATGGTGGTTCCTTCTTGGTTCATGCCCATTAATAATAGAAAAACTCACTATGAGACCATAAGAAAGGAATGTAATTAACAAAAAGTCCCACAACAAATGAGTAGCATGCATAATGACAAGTTCTAGTGTATCAACATGTTTATGCTACTTGTTATTAAGACAAGACCATACCCATTAATAATACGAAGTTCTGCGCACTTGAAAGTTAAACTTCTTGAGTAACCCGTAGTTCATTATGTTTTAATTTTACGCCCATGGCAAAAATGCCTTTACTTTAATTAACAAGGATGTAATCAGCATTCAGGATGATGCCAGTAACAAGAATTAGCACACACGCACATTGATCAGCCAATCATTGTCACTTTAGACACAAGTGACAGCAGATGTGAACTAGGCGTGACAATATAGAAAGTTGCAGAGACAATGAATGTTCATTTCAGCAACCAAAGCAAATTAAAAAAAAAAAAAACAAACACACACACACACGTGCTCTCTCTACCAGAATTCTTACATCTGTTGAATTAGCAACGTGGGGTTCTCGAAACCAACGTGGTTATAGTAGCATCACATCTTCATCATTTGAGATCATATGCTTTGTTAGAGAACCATCCGATCCCACTAGAGGGGCTATTGACATATTGAACTTCTTCTGATGTCTCTAACTTACTCATATTTTCTTTTGTTGTAATTAGCTGATGATGCCCACGTTTTTTGGTTCGCATGCCCTTTGCAATTTCATTCTTTGATGGAATTTTCCCTTTTCTCCAAAACAGAAGCTTTCTCCATCAGACTGAAACAGGGAGTACTAGTTACCTGAAATCAAGTACACCTAAAACATGGTGCCATGCAGGGGAGACTGATGCCCCCAAGGTAGAATGTTCATTTAGATTGTCACTGTAGTTTCGCCTTTCATGAACAGGCCTGTCATCTCATCTTCTACCCCCTTCTCTCTCACAAGCCGCGAGTCCAAGCACATACAAAGACATATGAGCATTCTCATTCTTCATATTACACACATACAAGCTCTAAGTTGAACAAATCTAATGGTAGTCACTCACCAGTTTTACAACCACCCCCCCCAAAAAAGGATGAATTCTTCGTGGTAAATTATCTTACATTGGAATAAAGATGATGAATAAGGATGGGAATGCTAGGACTCTAACTGAACTTGGTTCACATATATTTCTATCAGAATCAACCAATAGATCCGCTGGAAAGCACAAGTTACATACAAAGGGCTTATTTAGGTAATACATGACCCTTGAGAGAAAATTCCAGACAAGCCAACAAGAAGTTAATTTTACACGAGGCAACAAGAAATCAATATGAACGCATTATGCATAGGGTCAATCAGGACTCGTAAAATTGTATTGTTCAACCATGTTTGTTGCCCTAACATTGTTTCCTACGTAAATTATACTCACAAAACCAGAATAACACATAAACATTATTGCCTCCTTCGAATTTTTTTCCCCGCGAATGCTTAGTTTCATGTTATTAGCAATCCCCAGCTTAATTTCATAGCAGAACGCAGAAGTTTCTAAACAAAGACAAGACGATTAAAAAGAAGAAGAAGAAAATGACCAGCAACAGCTCAATCCCCAGTTGTGAACACTGCCGATGCCACGCGAATGCCCGGTATCCTGTATGTTTTAGTCTGGAACATGAAGCTTCTCGGAATTCATATATTTACAGTTCTCTGTGCAAGGCCCGTGAGGTTCTTTGATTAGGCTGACCACAAATGACAGGTACTCATGTGCACGTTTGGATCTTTGATTTGGGGCTAGAAAAGGAAGCCCAATTAGTCAGTATGCATAAAGAGCCTCCCTTCGCATTAGCCTTTTTCCCCCCCTTTTTGGGAAACGTCGCACCAGTTTTCCTTTGTCGTTGGGGTCTTCGTTCTAGCATACGGAGGAAAGAGCATTGCTTCCATGAAGTGGCGGGAAAAAGGATTTGGGACAATGCTCTTTTTACCAGGTCATTTCAAGCGATTGCCAACTTGGAAGAACCTGATTAAACCCTAGCTACGAATCGAACAGCTGTACATTGCCCAGTTTGCCATCAACGCCCTGGAACAGGTGAGCGTTTTTTGCTGATTACTTTATTCATTTCCATAGAGCTGATTTTGATTTTTACTGTGAAAGGATTTGGGAACATTTCATAATGCCGCAAATTAAGAAATATGTGTAATGCATTGATCCATAACCTGGTGGGTTGGGGGTGATTCCTTTATTTTTGAATCGTACACTGCAAAACTAATGCGTGAAAATTTTCAAACCATAAGAAAATGATCTAGAGTTAGGTTTACAATATTTCTTAGATTGATATATACTACCTCTGATTCTAATTATAAGAACTTGTTTACACATCTTATGTTAAAATCGAACTGTCTCTCGTACTATGCTCTGAAGATCTCTGAGACATCAACATCTCCTTGAAGCATCTCCACTACTCTGCTCATTGAGGGGCGATCACTTGGGCTCAGCTGTATGCAAGTAAAAGCAACTGTAATCATTTTCTGGGCTATCTTCTTCTCTTCTTCTGTGGCATTGCTTTTAAATATTGTTTCTTCAAACTGATCATGAACCCATTTCGCAAAGTAAGTCTGCCACGAATTCTGCACAACATCATAGTTCTTTCTTCTTCCTGCCATTTCCATCAGCATCATCCCAAAACTATAAACATCAGCCTTGTGTGAGATGCCTCCAATGTTTTTATACAGCAATTCAGGAGCCATGTATCCCATTGTGCCTCTAGCTGCAGTTAGAGACACAATACTTTTATCTGTTGGATATAGTTTTGCCAATCCAAAGTCTGAAATCTTGGGAGAAAAATTCTCATCAAGAAGAATATTGTGAGGTTTGATATCAAAGTGTAGGATTTGCTTGTCGCAACCTTGATGTAGGTACTCAATCCCACGAGCCACCCCTAAAGAAATCTCATTGATCTTCTCATAATTTATTGATGATTTTTCATGCTCAGAAAGTATGTATTTATCTAAAGATCCGTTTGGCATGAACTCATAAACAAGAGCTTGCTTTCTTCTCTCTGCACAAAATCCTATCAGTTGCACCACATTTACATGACGAATAGTTCCAATGGTGGAAACTTCATTGATGAAATCATGCCCATCCGTTGTTGACTTGCCTAATAGCTTAACAGCCGCATCACGCTTGCTTCGAAGCTTTCCTTTATATACAGAACCATAACCCCCTTCTCCTAACTTATGCTTGAAATTTTTTGTCATTCTTCTTATGTCAGAGTAAGAGTATTTGATGGGCACTAAATTGCTGTGACTTCGTAGGAAGTCCTCAATGTCATCATACTCAGATAAATGCCTCCTTCTCATTTTATATATTAGAAACCCCGCAAAAATTGGGAATCCCAAAGCAAATTTTGCTGCAAACCAATAGGCAACTGCGGGCAAAAAAAGAGGGAAAAAAAAATAACTGAGAAGAAAATGAAGCAACATAAAACAAAATTTCCAGAGAATTTCAATTAATTTCACTTGCATAAATGTCAGCGTTGTCGAATGTTTTCCCCTCCCAAATGTTGAAAGGGAAATTTCTTACTGATGGTAGTAAATGTTTAAACAATTTCATGAAGGGTTAGGCACTTTCTGATCCCCAACTTGTTTTTCTTTATTCTTGTGCATTTTTAACTTTTTGGTTGTTAACGTCTGGCTGAGTAACTGCATCCATCATAATTGAAGTTATATCTTGAATATGGTTGGGGTTTCCTAAAGAAGTAGTTCTCGTCGATATACTTTGTTTAGGTACCTTGAAGTTGGTATGTGCATGGAACTCTGTGTTGGGGTTCCCAAAATGAGGACTTCCCATTAAATTTTTTATGCTGTGGCTGGGGGTGCCAAAGGATAATTTCCATTACTAACTGCATGTTCGATATATGATAGATATTAGATAGAATTGGATTTAAGCTATAGATCCCTTATTGGCAATCCTAAATGGGGCAATTCCCACATATCAATAGGATTCGTTCCTGGTAGAAAGGAGATTTGTGGTCGCTTAAGCAAGAACTCTTGAGTTCAAGTCCATGTAAAAGTAAGAAACGCCTTTGGGTGAGCTACTCTTGATTTTGATGAGAAACCAAACGCTAGCCAATAACAAGGAATAAGAAGGGTAAGGAAGATGACGGTTTGCGTTATCATTGTGAAGGATCTGGGAAAGGTGTTTACAGGGCGGTGATAGTTCTCAAAAGCATGTATGATAATAGATAACACTTCGATGATAGATGACTTTGGAGTCAATGCTATGTGCCAATCAACAATTTAAAGACGTGTGAACAACTAGTAGTTTCTTCTTGCCCCTTTTCTAATAACCTTGAAAAGTCCGACTCTCATTGATTGCGTTCATGAATTGATCAATTTCTTGGAAGTTAATTCTAGTATACTCCTTCCATCTTCAAATATAATTTCAATCAACTCAGACAGTTTAAGAAAGTTAGGTTATTCTTATAATCATGTCTTAAAATTTAAAATTTTCCATTAAAATACACTGGTGATTAGTGAGTTGACATGATATCATTTATAAGATATACTTAAAAGGATGTCTGAAATTTTTGCTTACTGTGTTTATCATATTTATCATTTTTTGATTTCTTCAAATTAATTTATCTAACTTATAAACATATATAATTTAATATTAAATAAGGATATTTTAAAGAGATTATGTCACACTTGTTATAATTAACTAATCTATCTAACTTTCTCAACTTACATAAATTAATTAAGTAGATCTTATATTAAAGACAATAGAGGAGTAAGTTCTCTTCCTATTTATTCTCTCTTCACTCTCTCCCTCCATTGTGCCTAAGGTTTTAGTGCTTTTCACCAATTTTAAGTAATTTTCTAATCTACATAATTTTGTTATTTTTATCTTCAATTGATGATGCTCTTTTTAATTCATCCAACATTATACAGCATTTTTTTCCCCAAGTGCTTGAAGTATTTTATCATTCAATTTTGCCTTTAAAGTATTTTTTTAGGAGTTATTTTATTTTTGTCATTAACTTTCAAAAGGTTGATACATCCAACACTATAAAAAAATTTTATAATAACCTAACGTAATTTTTTTTTCGTGTAATTTTGTCTTAAATTAGAGGAGGAAGCAGCTAAAGAGCAGAGGGAACAGAATATACTCCTCCGGTCCTTAATATAAGACCCATTTAACTAATTTGATTAGATTAAGGAAGTTAGGTAAGTTAGTTAATTATAAGAAATGTGACACGTTTTTCCTAAAATACCATAATCATCTTTTTTAATACCTCATTTTCTTCTTCTACTTGATTATGGTTAAAAGAGTATCCATAGGGGTAATTTAGAGAAAATTGATAAATATGACAAATGGGTCTTATATTTAGGACAAAAACCAACTCACCAATTGGGTCCTATATTAAGGACCGAAGGAGTAATAAATTACAATTCATGAAGTGAAGGTTTGGAAGTAAGCAATACAAAAAGTCTTGAGAATTTGTGTAAGCAATCCAGTTATGAGACAACTTATTAACAGGAGTTAGGTGGCTAATCCGAAAAAAATTATGAGACAGCTTGAAATAATGATAAAATTCATGGGTGCCTTCATAGTCAAAGATAACTACCAAACGACCAACCAATGAAATGCCAGTGGACCTATACTGAGGAAACAGACAATGAAAGCTTTGAAATTTGGTTCCATTCCCATTTTTGGTGGAAATTTTCCAGTAAATAGGAGCAATGGTTCCTCCAAAATATCAAGAGGGTGGTTGCTTCCCATTTCTATCGTTCAAGCTCACGCAAATTGTGTCTTAGATTTCGAATATTAGCATCGTACCTAAACATTGTTCTGAACAATGAAACGGCATAGCCGATTGGCCATCCTATTCTTTTTCTTCTGCGTCTTGACTACATTCACTCAACCACACTTCCCTGATCCATGCACGGTAACAAGTTGCGGGGTTGATGGACCTGCCATTCGATTCCCCTTTAGGCTCAAAGGAAAACAGCCAGAATGGTGTGCATATAATCCTGGCTTTGATCTTTACTGTAATGAAACAAACCACACGGTGCTCGAGCTGCCCTTCTCTGTCAAGGTTATCGTACGCGACATTGACTATAAAAAACAATTCTTTGCTGTGTCTGACCCTGATGGATGCCTTGCTCATCTCAATTTATCTGCGTCGCCTTTTCGGTCAAATGATTATTATGACTCAAGCCGAAATGCGATATTCAATTGCTCAGGGACGTCTCGTAGAGATTCAAATCAATTTCCAAAATTGGGAAACTTCTCTTGTCTCGATGTTGCCGGCTATGAGGTTTTAGCTGTACCATACGTAGCGGATATCATAGACTATCCTCTTCTATCATGCACGAGAATTCCTGGTTATGCATCAGTCCCCGATTCATTTTTCTATCACAATGAGCTCATATATCTATCTTGGCTCGAACCAGATTGCAGAAAGTGTGAGGACCATGGAGGGCAGTGTAGATTGACAGAAAACAAAGTTGAACGTGAACCTGAATGTTTCCAAAACCCTCATACAGGTATAATTTTTTCTCCGATTATAATACCTTCATAAACAGAGTATAAAATCTATTTGTATGTGAAGCTGATATAAAGTTTATTTTAACAGGTCCATCAAAACAAATAGTACTCACTGGTAAGGATTCTTCAGGCAACAATTCATCATTTCACATAAAAATTGAACATAAAAGTTCCCAAATGAATTTAATACATATTGTATATGTCGCTATATTTGCAGGTGAAATCCTAGGCCCGTTCCTGCTCATGTTTGTTGGGTTTGTTGTTTATTGGGTTACTGCAGCTAGCCTAGAGAGGCAGGGTTACAAAAAAATTAAACTGTTTTTGGAGGATTACAAAGCACTTAGGCCTGCTAGATACTCGTATGCAGATATAAAGAGGATCACTAATCAGTTCAGGGATGAACTTGGACAAGGAGCTTACGGAACTGTCTTTAAAGGGAAGCTATCTAATGAGATTCAGGTGGCTGTCAAGCTTCTCAACACTTCAACTGGGAATGGACAAGAGTTCATCAATGAAATGGAGACCATGTGTCAAATTCACCATGTCAATGTGGCTCGCTTGGTTGGCTACTGTGCGGATGGTTTCAAACGAGCTTTGGTTTATGAATTTTTACCCAATAGTTCATTGCAGAAATTCATAACTTCAGCTGATAGGAAGGACCTTTTCCTGGGTTGGGGAAAGCTTCATGATATTGCTCTTGGCATAGCCAAAGGAATTGAGTACCTTCATGAAGATTGTGACAAACGGATCCTCCACTTTGATATCAAACCTCACAACATTCTGTTAGATGACAAATTCACTCCAAAAATATCTGATTTCGGTTTGGCCAAACTCTGTTCTAAGGACCAAAGCATTGTGTCAATGACAACAGCTAGAGGCACTTTGGGCTATATTGCACCAGAAATATTTTCTCGGAACTTTGGCAATGTGTCTTATAAATCAGATGTTTATAGCTATGGAATGTTACTGCTTGAAATGGTTGGAGGAAGGAAAATCACAGATGTCACAGAAGAAAATGGCGAGCAAGTTTACTACCCGCAATGGATTTATAATCTTCTAGAGAACAATGAAGACATACAAATCCATGTGGAAGGAGAGGAGGACACTAAAATTGCAAGGAAGCTATCCATTATTGGACTTTGGTGCATTCAGTGGCATCCAGCAAACCGTCCAACCATGAAAAATGTGGTTCAAATGCTGGAAGGGGACGATGAAAAGCTAATCATGCCTCCTAATCCTTTTGGTTCTTCACATGCAATTAGACCAAGAGCTGCTAATGGAGTAAGGCGGTTGCAACCAGAGTTATCTACCATTTCAGAAATAGAGTGAAGTTGAGATGGTTATAATGAGCTGTGTTAGATATAAATTTGTGTTTTGGTTGGTAGTCTTTCCTTCTTGTGTATAAAGTTCAAAATAGGATCACAGATAGTTATCCATGAAAGAATTTCTAAACAATTATAAATATGTAAGTTCTACGTTTTTGCCAGTGGCTATAACCAACTTGAAAAAATTGTTGTCCATGGTTCACTGAAGCTATATATCATAATCTAAGTTCTTTGAATAAAATGGTTAGAAGAGAAACTACTGCAAAGGCCTACGTATATGCGAACGGCTTCCCTATTCTGAAGCTTGGCTCACTCTTCACGAACTCATTTTTTGAAGCTTGGACTATCTATGTTGAGGAACTCAAATTATGTCAAATATAACCGAAATTCTTCTCGAAGTGTATAACCACAAAGAAAGCTTAATATTTTAAATCTCTACAGAAAGGGTTGTTGAGACGTGGGAGACAATGGTAAGAATAACACAATAAAAATAGAAATGAGATTCACTTTTACTTTTTTATGAATTTGTATTAGAATTTTACAGTAAAGAATTTTAAAAAAAATAGAGTCAATGGAACTTTGTGTGTGCAGTGGCCAATAAAAAATCGTTTTTTGAAGTCTTCATGGACTTTATGAGAGTTTTATTGTAAAAAACTTTTAGAAAAGAATATAGTCGCTTTCCAACTTTTGAAAATTTGCCTAATTCAATTCTATATAATTTATATAAAGCTTGACTAGGACAGATTTTGAGTGGCTGCGTGATTAAAGATATTATTAATAACAGTTGACTTGGAGTCAATGTCTTGTGCAATTCCACAACCATCACCCATTAATAAATGCCGCAAGAATTTTCAACGAAGATGAAGAACATGTTTTGCTTCATTCTAGGACTATATATATAATTAAAGGAATATAAATTAAATAGAAACAAAAAATTGAATTTATATAATCCAATAAATATTAATTACCATAAAACTACATTTGCAATGGTTTCTAGGAAAAATTGGTGAGAAGTAAAATATTTATCACCAAAAGTATTTGAAATTTATTTAAAGATATAGGTGCAACTCATTACAACTCTTTTAATAAGTACTAAAAGAAATAGGTATTGCATATGGCACTCATATGTTGAGGATGAGTTATGCCTACTGAATTCAAGCCATTTTAATCAAAATCTTGTCAAATACGTAACTTTTCAGCAAATTTTGCTTGCTTCTATTTAATTTCTCATTTTTATTAAAATGAAATATATATATATATATATATATATTATACTTCTAAAATTTGTTTAGTCAGATTATACTATTCTACATATTGTCAGCAAGAATTGATGTTTCGGTAGCGATTGATTGGATGGAACCATAAGAAGATGGAAATTAATTTGTTTTTAAAAAGCCAAATTATATTGACTCCAGGTCAACCACAATTGATGTGCTTGAATTCATTATTGGCGACAAACCTTCAAAGTGATAAGAAAGATGGACCAAGCAGTTTCTAGGAAAGAGTGACAGTGATTATATATGGGAAACGCCACCATATTACCACCACAAAAAAAGGTATAATACTCTGCCATGACTATAAAATCTAATTGGTAGCATTGTAATACAAACTAGATTTTTTAATTAGGATGGGAAGTAATATTAAATTTGAAACTTAGTTTTATCTTTCCTAACTCATTTTTTTTCCTGCAAATCTACTGGATTCCTCATATCATCATGCAAGTTGTATAAACTATGAATTAGAGTTCCGGCAAGCAGCAAATTCTTTTTAAAAATGCATAACTGTAGAGAAAACTTGTTAATTTAAATTTCCATATACTGAAGAAATAGCTACGTCATAAGAGAGCGTGTAAAAATGTGGCAACATAAAAATTTCATTATCTACTAGGACAACAACCTTCTTCCAACAATAACCTACATATAGTCTAGTAAATCAGAGTACTTCAGAAAACATTCAAGATACTAACCATAATGCTACTTTTACTTATTTGACAGTAGTTTAGTCGAAATACAAATTGTCAGTAGCAGCAACATTTTCTTCTGAAATCTCTCACCAAGTTACAAAAATTTAGGGAGGAAGAGCCTCTTGAAGCTCCATTTCTCCTTCAAGCATCTCTAACACATTCTTCATGGAGGGTCGATCATTAGGATACATCTGTATGCAATGTGAAGCTATTATAATCATCTTCTTTGCAATTCCTCTTTCCTCATCTGAGATATTGCTCCCCTCTATTGATTCCTCAAATTGATCATAAACCCATTTAGCAAAATAGGTCTGCCAGGAATGCTCAATGACATTCGAGTTCTTCCTTCTGCTAGCCATTTCCATTAGTAGCATCCCAAAACTATAAACATCAGCTTTGTGTGATATTCCTCCAATGTTCTTGTACAAGAATTCAGGAGCCATGTATCCAAATGTTCCTCTTGCATTTGTCAAAGACACGATACTATTATCTAATGGGTACAACTTAGCCAATCCGAAATCCGAAATCTTTGGATTAAAATTTTCATCAAGAAGGATATTGTGAGGTTTGATATCAAAGTGTAAAATTTGCACGTCACATCCTCGATGTAAATATTCAATTCCTCGGGCAACCCCAAGAGAAATGTTAAATATTTTGTCATGATTGATGGGCACATTCCCTTGTCTCTCCAAGAATATGTACTTGTCGAGAGATCCATTAGGCATAAATTCATAAACAAGAGCCCGCTTATTTCTTTCAGTGCAGAATCCAATCAGCTGCACCACATTGACATGATGAATCCTGCCAATAGTGGCAACTTCGCTTATGAAATCTTGTGCTCTATTGGCTTTGGACTTCGCCAGTAACTTGATGGCTACATCGCGATTGCTTCGAAGCTTACCTTTATACACATAGCCGTAGCCTCCTTCACCTAACTTGTGTTTGAAGCCGTTGGTCATTTTCTTGATCTCTGAGTAAGAGTACTTGATGGGCATCAGGTTACTATTATTTCGGAGGAAGTCCTCGACATTGTCATAATAAGATTGATGCCTTCTTCTCCATCGAAGAATCAAGAATATTAAAACAAAAGGTGTACCCAATACAAATTTAGCTGCAGACCAGTAAGTCACTGTGCACAAGATTTCAAAAGTAATCAGCATTAAATCAATTCTTCCTATCAAATATAGACTTACATATATATGGTCATATGTATATGTTTAACACATGGAATATAACCAGGCTGAATGTTTTCAGTTCTTACATGTATCATGATAGTTTGGTACTTGAAGCTATGCTCTAATCTTACATGAATTCCTCAATGAAGACAGTTCCAGTGAGTAGAGAATAGCCAAAATATCTAACGGATGCTTTTATTTATGCAACTGTTGTTGGTTTTGGGATGAAAATAACACGTCTAATTAATAAATTTAATGAAGTGTGAGAAATGAAATTGTAGAAACACGAAAAAGAAAAAAGAAAAAACAAACTTGCTTCACTCACCTATAAAGATCGCTCTCAGAATAATACCGGCTGCGTTGTGAAAATTCAAAACAGAAGCTTCGATTAGATCATCTTGAAAATAATTGTTTCCAATATTTTATTTTGTTTTCAAGAATACCATGATATATAACTAACTGCAAAAGTTCACCTGAAACCGTTGCAAGATCAAGTGGACGATGACAAAGAACCATATTAGTGGCATTTTCAAACCAGCAGTTTGGTTGCCCTCCATCCCACACTCCACAACGATCAGCAATCCATTTGATGTGAATCTCCTTTACCTCTTCCCTCTGAACTTTTGGATATGAACAATTCTTATTACATCTCATTGGCCCCCATGGCAAAACCTTCACCAACATATCTATTTTGCACGACTCTTCCACATCAGATACACTTGGATCCCCCGTCAGCACATAAGAATAACGAGTTTTTGGTGCTTCACTAGAACAAGGAGCCACAATTTCAGCATACGAAGGAGAGTGAACTGGATTTTGGCAGCTGACAAACACTAATCCGCCCACATGATAATGGTATTTTTTGTTGCTTGGTTTCCTCTCTTTGGCTTTGAAATTGTGGTTGAAGAAGTTGCTGTATGTGAGAGAATGACGAGAGATCGCGTAGCAATTGTTGATGTCAAGTCCGGAGGTAATGGATTGGAGATTTGTGGAGTTAGTGGCATAAACGGCCTGCACCAAGCGCCTTCCATAGTTTACAGACAACACACTTCTGTTGTTCTCGCAGCTTACTGTATAGCTGGGATCGTAGCAGTCGCCATATTTATAATATGTATTTGTGGGGATGTTGAAGACATGTCCGCAGGATTCACTAAATGATGATTTTATAAAGAAATCAGTATCAGAATTAGGATTGAATGTATATGCAGCAAAGGAGCCAAGGAAGATGATTATGATGAAGGTTTCTTTTAACATTATGAATGATCAGAGAAGGAAGAAACAAGCTACTTTCCAAGCGGACGTAATGGATCCACACAAGCTCAGACCAGATAGAGAAGATTTTTTTTTTAATATTATTTATAAGCCAGCTTATTTAATTTTTAACATGAATATATATAAAATTTTTTATGGTCTACATTTATTGTACTTCCTCCATTCCTTTTTATAAGATACAATTAACCAAATTATGTTGCTCAAAATGTTAATTAAAATGAGTTGAAGAAAATAAGTGAGTAAAAAAATGTAATTTTTTGCCAAAAATACCCTCATTTATGTAGAAGCGGTATAATGTGCGGGAATTAAATGCAATGATATGAGTAATATGAGTAATTAAATTGAGGTAAGATGAAAATCAACAAACAAAATTTGAAACAACATGTACGTACATAAAAAAGAATATGATATACTTTATAATTGTCCCTTATAATAAGGAATAGAGGGAATAATGTGGATAGTTATTTTTTCAAAAAGTCTATATATTAAATATGAGTAAAATTAAAAAATTGTTAGTCCTCTGATCCTATTTATCAGTCACTTCTAACATGTTTTACATGGATCACGGAAAACCTTAAGTTTCATTAACTTTCATTTAAAATTCAACAATTTTTAAAGTTTATTCCTATTTAATATATATTATACCTCATGTAAATAAAGTCAACATAATAATAAATAAAGAATAAAATTGTATATCTATATAAAAATTTTATCTTACTGCTTTATAAATAAGACTAGAGAAGTATATTTTAAATGAAAATTAATATAATTTAAGGTATTTTTTTAGTCTATATAAAATATACTAGAAATATCTTATAAATAGGATTAGAGAACTGATTTATAAGTAGGTTGAATCTGAGTTTTGAAAATTTGTCCAATTTAATACAGTATCCAAGTGGCTTGACCCGACTTCTAGGTAACTTGTGAGCCATTCTGCTCCGTTGATAATTAAAGAAATCGATAGCGGTTGACTCGGAGTCAATGTCTTAACACAGTTCTCCAGTCCACCAGCACCACCCCTTTATGATATGACGATTTTTAATTCATTCCAGCTCCATAAAATGCATAGATTAAATCGAAACAAATACCTAAATTGAATTAATTGAAGTAAAAAATTATTAAATACTACTCCCTCCTGTATTTCCAAATTTTTGAATTGATCTGATCATTTTTATATAATCCACAACCATCACCCATTAATAAATTCCGCGAGAATTTTCAACGAAGATGAAGAACATGATGATGATATGAGGAATTTTGCTTCATTCTAGAACTATATATAATTAAGGGAATATGAATTACATAGAAACAAAAAATTGAATTTATATAATCCAATCAATATTAATTACAAGAAAACTACATTTGCAATGGTTTCTAGGAAAAATTGGTGAGAAGTAAAATATTTATCACCAAAAGTATTTGAAATTTATTTAAAGATATAGGTGCAACTCATTACAACTCTTTTAATAAGTACTAAAAGAAATAGGTATTGCATATAGCTGAAGAAAAATTACACTCATATGTTGAAGATGAGTTGCGCCTACTGAATTCAAGCCATTTTAATCAAAATCTTCTCAAATAAGTAACTTTTCAGCAAATTTTGCTTGCTTCTATTTAATTTCTCATATTTATGAAAAGGAAAATATATATATTTTATACTTCTGAATTTTTTTACTCAGATTATACTATTTTACCACTCTGTTCCTTATTATAAGTCACTTGTATCCCAAACCCGCAAATCAAGAAATACATTAAATTAACTAGTTTTTTTTCCCTATATTTACCCTTATTAAAAGTTGAGAGAGAGAGGGGGAGAAGGGGATGGATTGCATAGGAAATGAAAAGTTGAGAGAGAGATGGAGAGAGAGATTAATTAATTTTTTATTAAATTAATAGGGATAAAATTGGAAAAAGATTATTAATTATACTACAAGTGACTTATATTTTGAAACAAACTTTTAGGGTACAAGTAGCTTATAATAAGAAACAGAGTGGTACATATTGTTGGCAAGAATTGATGTTTCGGTAACGATTGATTGGATGGAACCATAAGGAGATGGAAATTTTTTTTTTTTTAAAAAGCCAAATTATATTGACTCCAGGTCAACCACAATTGATGTGCTTTACTACCACTGGATTCATTATTGGCGACACACTGAAAACAAAGTTGATAAGAAAGATGGACCGAGCAGCTTCTACGAAAGAGTGACAGTGATTATATATGGGGGACCCCCCCAAAAAAAAAATACCAAAAAAAAAATGTATACAAACTAGATTTGTAGCATTGTAATACAAACTAGATTTTATAATTAGGATAGAAAATAATATTAAATTTGAAACTTAGTTTTATCCTTCCTAACTCGTTTTTTTTTTTTTCATTCAAATCTACTGGATTCCTTACATCATCATGCAAATTGTATAAACTATGAATTAGAGTTCCGGCAAGCAGCAAATTCTTTTTAAAAATGAATAACTGTAGAGAAAACTTGTTAATTTAAATTTTCATATGCTGAAGAAATAGCTATGTCATAAAAGAGCATGTAAAAACGTGGCAACATAAAAATTTCATTATTTACTAGGATAACAACCTTCTTCCAACAATAACCTACATATAGTCTAGTAAATCAGTGTACTTCAGAAAACATTGAAGATACTAACCATAATGCTACTTTTACTTATTTGACAGTAGTTTAGTCGAAATACAAATTGTCAGTAGCAGCAACATTTTCTTCTGAAATCTCTCACCAAGTTACATAAATTTAGGGAGGAAGAGCCTCTTGAAGCTCCATTTCTCCTTCAAGCATCTCTAACACATTCTTCATGGAGGGTCGATCATTAGGATACATCTGTATGCAATGTGAAGCTATTATAATCATCTTCTTTGCAATTCCTCTTTCCTCGTCTGAGATATTGCTCCCCTCTATTGATTCCTCAAATTGATCATAAACCCATTTAGCAAAATAGGTCTGCCAGGAATGCTCAATGACATTCGAGTTCTTCCTTCTGCCAGCCATTTCCATTAGTAGCATCCCAAAACTATAAACATCAGCTTTATGTGATATTCTTCCAATGTTCTTGTACAAGAATTTAGGAGCCATGTATCCAAATGTTCCTCTTGCATTTGTCAGAGACACGATACTATGATCTAATGGGTACAACTTAGCCAATCCAAAGTCTGAAATCTTTGGATTAAAATTTTCATCAAGAAGAATATTGTGAGGTTTGATATCAAAGTGTAGAATTTGCATATCACATCCTTGATGTAAATACTCAATTCTTCGAGCAATCCCAAGAGAAATGTTAAATATTTTCTCGTAATTGATGGGCGTGTTGCTTTGTCTCTCCAAGAATATGTACTTGTCAAGTGATCCATTAGGCATAAATTCATAAACAAGAGCTCGCTTATTTCTTTCAGTGCAGAATCCAATCAGCTGCACCACATTGACATGATGAATCCTGCCAATAGTGGCAACTTCGCTTATGAAATCTTGTGCATTATTGGCTTTGGACTTTGTCAGTAACTTGACGGCTACATCGCGATTGCTTCGAAGCTTACCTTTATACACATAACCATAGCCTCCTTCACCCAACTTGTGTTTGAAGCCATTGGTCATTTTCTTGATCTCTGAGTAAGAGTACTTGATGGGCATCAGGTTACTGTTATTTCGGAGGAAGTCCTCAACATTGTCATAATAAGATTGATGCCTTCTTCTCCATCGGATAATCAAGAATATTAAAGCACAAGGGCCACCCAGTACAAATTTAGCTGCAGACCAGAGAGTTACTGTACACAAGATTTCAACAATAATAATCAGCATTGAATCAGTTCTTCCTATATTATACAGACTTACATTATAAAGATTGAATTCCTTGTTGGGATTCCTAACATATGGACTTCCCATTAAGATTTCAACAATAATCATCACGGATAATGAAATGAAGTGTTGAAGCGTTTTCCCATAGGCAATGAGAAACTCTGGTTCGCTTACCTGTAGCTGTCACGCTAAGAAAGAGGAGGGCTGCATTGTCAAAAATTCCAAAACATAATTAGTTTCTATTAAATCACCTGAGAGTAAATATCCTCGTTATTTTATTTTCTTTCATAGATTAACTATATTCCATGAGAACCATATATATCCATGAAGCTCACCGGAAATAGAGTCCGAAAGAGAAACTGCCGCATCCTGAGAACAAAGGACCATATTAGTGGCGTTTTCAAACGAACAGCTAGGTTGCCGCCCTCCGTCCCACACTCCACAACGATTTGGGCGCCATCTGACCTCAATCCCATTTACCTCCTGCCTCTGAACTTGCGGATACGAACAACTCTCATTACACGTCATTGGTCCCCATGGCACCACCTTCACTATCAAATCTATTCTGCATGACTCTGGCACATCAGACATCATTGGGGAATACCGCTTCAGCACAAAAGGATGAAGCGTTTCGGGCGCTTCGTTAATACAAAGCGCCACTATATCCGGATAGAGATCAGGAGAGAATGGATTTTGGCAGCTGACAAACACTAATCCTCCCACATGATAAGTGAAGTTGTTATTCTTGGAGTCGAGTTCTGTCTCTTTGGCTGTGAAAGCTTGGTTGAAGTTATTGTATGTGAGGGAATGACGAGAGATCGCTGGGCAATTGTTGATGTCAAGTCCAGCGGTGACGGATTGGAGAGTAGTGGTGGAGTTAGTGGCATAAATGGCCTCTACTAAATGCCTCCCATAGTTTACATACAACACACTTCGGTTATTCTCGCAGACTAGTCCGTAACTTGGATCGCTGCAATTGCGGTCATCATAATATGCATTCGTGGATATGCATTTGTGGGGACGTTGAACACTTGTCCGCAGGATTCACTAAATGAATATCTGGTATCGTAATCTCCCAAAATAAAATATGTAACTAGAGAAGGGACTGCAAGTAAGATGATTCTGAAGGCTTCATTTATCATTGTGAAGTACTGTCAGAGAAGGAAGAAGCTAAGCAAGCTACTTTACAAGCGGCGGTACTAGCTAGCTTAATCCATACATCCCCTATCTTTAAAACAAAACAAGTGATGGATGCCTGTGATGATAGGTTGATAACTACTAATGATATCCATACATCCCCTAGCTAGCTTAATTCATACATCCCCTATCTTTAAATTTCGCATTCTTAATATACCTTAGACTTCGAAAAATCAAACGGAGGATTTTGATTGGGTAAACAGTTCAAATTTTGTCTAGAGAATTACTCCTGTGGTGCTTGCTCTATGACTTAATTGAAGAGTTAATATTAGTACTATATATATAAGACTTATTTTTATCAGTTTTTTCTAAATTAACCCTATTGATATTTTTTTCAATAATTATCAAGTAGGAGAGGGAGGGAGGAAATTAAGAAAGACGCTTAGGGTATTTTAAAAAAAATCATATTAACTGAATTAACTAACATCGTTAATCTATTCAAATTAGAACCGGAGGAATATTATTTTGGAGTAATCGTGAATTTCCAGATTGGACCAAAAGAAAAATGAAAGTTTATAAAAGCCAAATCATTGACTCCAAGTCAACCAAAATTGATGTACTACCTTTGGTCCTTGATATAAAAGTTTGTTAAATAATTTAAGTAGATTAAAGAATTTTGTTAAATTAGTTTATTGTAATAAATAGGTATTATTTTTTCTAAAATATCCTTATTAATAAAGTTTCATTTGATGAAACATTTGAAATATGAAATTATGACAAAAACTATCTTAAAAAAAATAGATAAATATGAAAGACAAAGTAAATTGAGATCTTATATTTAAAATTAAACTAAAAGTCAAACTAGTTTTTATATTAAGCACAGGAGGTAGTATATTAAGACCGCTTATTATTAAGAACAAATTTTCAACAAAATGACAAGAAAAGTACTCCATGAAGCTTCCAAGGAAAAGAGGGCAATAAAAAAATCGCCCCCACCATATTGACTAAATTCTAAACCTCAAATCTTAAATGACATTGTATTTTTTAAGAGAAGGTAATAATTTTTCCTATCTCTCATTTTATTGTGGTCCCATTCCATCAACCATCCCATCACTATCAATCAATGCAAGGAGTTTCCTCAACAGGAAGGAAGATATATAAGCTGTAACCAGGACTAGCGAGCTTTATTATCAATCTTCTATGGTACAGATATTTCTGGAGATCAAGTGACATATAAATGTTTAGCTGAAAAATTCGTTACTCCAGCTAACGTAACATACCCGTTTTCTTGGCCAAGAAACCAATCACATGAATATTGAAAATAGTGACAAGCCAATTTTTCAACTTAATATGTATCAAACTTTATAACATTTTCAAATAATTACCACAAACACAGTCTAAGCCGATGAGCTATACAGCAACAACTTAAGCGCACTGATATTATTATTGAAGAAAGTCATAAAAACCAGTCATCTCAATTAAAAATGTAGAAGTCAAAATTGTTCTATAATTTTTGTGTTTGTACGTATCTAGCCATTTGCTAGCTGTAAAGCTTAGCTAGTCAAGTATTAAATGCAAAAAATACTATAAGGAGATGTTCAAAATACTAACTATGCATTAAACTATTATTAAAGATTTACAAAGCTCATTCTGAGTTCAAATTCTTCCAATTATATATCAACAATTCAACATCCCCTTTTGGAATCCCTTTCCAAGTTATAGAGGGTTGGTACGGTGGAAAAGCCACTTGGAGGTCAATTTCTCCCTCGAGCATCTCTATCACTTTCTTCATTGAGGGTGGATCACTAGGATTCATTTGTATGCAATGTGAAGCTATAACAATCATCTTCATCGCAATTTCCCTTTCCTCTCCAGTGGTACCACTCACTTCTATGGATTCTTCAAATTGGTCATAAACCCATTTGGAAAAATGGGTTTGCCAAGAATGCTCAATAACGTTCAAGTTCTTCCTCCTACCTGCCATTTCCATGAACAGCATCCCAATACTATAAACATCAGCTTTATGTGATATCCCTCCAATGTTCTTGTAAAATAATTCAGGTGCCTTGTATCCCAGTGTTCCTCTTGCATTAGTTAGAGATATAATGCTATCATCTAAGGAATACAACTTTGACAATCCAAAATCAGAAACTCTTTTATCAAAATTTTCATCAAGAAGGATATTGTGAGGTTTAATGTCAAGATGTAATATCTGCATGTCACATTCCCCCGTAAATACTCAATTCCACGAGCAATCCCAAGATAAATATTAAATATTTTCTCATAACTAAGTGATGAATTCCCCTCTCTCTCCTAGAATATATACTTGTCAAGAGACCCATAAGACATAAAATACACAAGAGCTCGCTTGTTTCTTTCAACACAAAGTCCAATAATTAAGTTGAACCACATTCGCATGATGAATCCTTCCAATAGTAGCAACTTCACTAATAAAATCTTGTCCATTGGATTTGAACTTGCTTAGTACCTTGACAGCTACATCACGTTTGCTTTGAAGCTTTCCTTGGAAGACATGACCATAGCGTCCTTCACCTAACTTGTGTTTGAAGCCATTAGTCATTTTGTTGATCTCTGAGTAGGAGTGCTTCATGGGCATTAGGTTACTATTATTTTGAAGGAATTCCTCAACATTGTCATAAACAGAGAATGGGAAAAATATCTAACTGATGCTCTTTTTTCTGTAACTGTTATTGGTTTCGCTCTATAACTAACTAGGGCAAGAAATTTAATAGTGTGACAAATGAAATTGAAGGACAAGGAGAAAATTAAACCTTGAATAATCGTCGCACGCTCAATAGCAAAACCTGCACCGTCAAAATTCAGAAGTTTCGACCAGACCAATCATGAAAACAATTGTTTCAATTTTTTCTTTTCTTCTCAAGAATACCATGATAATTAGCTATATCTGTGCCGTTCATCACCTCAAAGCATTCTAAGACCCAGCAGCGGACGATGACAAAGAACCATATTAGTGGCATTTTCAAGCAGTTACCTTTCTCTTCTTCCCCCTCGCCACAACGATTTGGTTGCAATCTGATCTCAATCCCCTGTACCTCTTGGCTCTGAACTTGTGAATAAAAATAGAGTTAACTGGACTTTGGCAGCTAACAAACAGTAATCCGCCCACATGATAATGGTAATTTTTGGTGCTTAGTGAAACATCCGTCATTTAATATATATTTACAAGCGCTATAATCCAGCAAATCATGAATTAAGCTTATATATTGAAAACTTCTATTTTTATTTTCAGGTTACCATTCATGTAGTAAATTTCAGATTTTTTACCTAACTTTAAAAATTCATAACTAATTATAAAAAAATCGCATTGAAGTGATTCAACTCTCAAATTAAAACTCCTTTGACTCTCTACAGGGAAAAATACTCATTGCGTTATTTACTTGCTCATTTATTATATTTGACCTTTGAGACTTCACTACAGCTTTTAACTTCCTTGTCTTTTGGTCGCAAAAAACTCTCTCTTTGCAATTTGACTTCTAAGAATAATTCTATTCTTTCAGAAAAATTTCTGGGACTCTTGCCAAAAGGAGTTTGGTAACCTACTCATTTCAGACTATTTCTTGCATTTCTATGCTTAAAATTCGGGATGTTACACTTAGTTATCTTGCTTTGGCTGTGAAAGCGTGGGTGTTGTTGTTGTTTTATGTGAGAGAATGGCGAGAGATGGCAGGGCAATTGTTAATATCAAGTCCAGCGGTGATGGATTGGAGAGTAGTGGTGGAGTTAGTGGCGCAGATGGCCTCTACTAAATGACTCCCGTAGTTTAAATACAACACAGTTTTGTTGTTCTGGCAGCGTAGTCCGTAGCTGGGGTCGTAGCAATTGCGGGAATAAGAGTGTGTATTTGTGGAGACGTTGAACACAAGTCCACAGGATTCACTAAATGAATTCATAAAGAAAACTTCATTCATATAGTATACGAGTAGAGCAAGGGCAAGGAAGATGAATATGAAAGTTGCATTTATCATCGTGAAGGATATCAAGAGAGGCAGAAACAGATTAATTTCCAAGCGGAGGTGCTGGATCCATACTGGCGATTTTCCTTCTTGCTTGAAGTTGAAGTACAGATGTAAATGGGATTTATTTTCAGTCTTTTTCTTAATGTTCACAGTAATTGTATCTATAATGAAGAATTAAGAAAAATAGTTAGTCCATGTTTTGAGAATCTTTTTTATTTTTCTAGAATTTTAGAAGATGTTTATATGAAAAATTGGAATTAAAAGAACAGAGCGAACCCAAGTGCGAATACAATAATTAACATCCAAGTGGTTTGACTCTAATTTTGTGCGGATTTGAGTCATTCTGCATTGATAAGCAAAGAAATCAATAACGGTTGGCTTGAAGTCAATGCCTCATCACAATCTTCCACCAGAACCACTCATAATGATGTGAGAATTTTATTTGATTACAGCTCCATAAAATGAATACAGATTTTGTTATCCAACAAAAAAAAAAGACTATAGATTGAATCGAAACAAATACCTAAATTGAATTAATTGAACTAAAAATTATTAAACAGAAACAAATTAAACTAAACTTTTAATTATTTAAATTTATGAATGCATTTATTAAATTTATATAAATGAAAAATGTTATACTTTCGTGTTGGCAAAAACAAATATTTATTATACTTTCGTATGTATATTAATTATTTAAATTTAATTGAAATAAAATCAAGAAGTTTCTGCTTCCAGTCATCAACCGTTGATGTGTTATTGATGACAATTTTCAATAAAGTGATAAGGAAAATACTGAAGGAAGTTTTCAGGAATCGAATTTCTAAATACGTAATAGTTTTCGTTTTTCTTAATTAAAGGAAACAAATACAACACGAAAAATTAAGGCAAGAAAAGGGCAGAGAAAAAAGGGGAGATTGTGGAGAGTGGCTTGTGGTTTTACAGTGAAACTGGAGAAATGTGACATTAGACAGGCCGAAGCTCGGGGGATTATTGAAGGGCTACTGTTATGCAGGCAAATGGGTTTCGAGAAGATAGAAGTAGAGTGTGATGCAGATCAGATAATCCAAGAAATCAAGCAAGAGG